TGTATATTTCGGTTATATTTGCCACTTTAGTTCTACTTCTAAAGTGATATTCTTTTAAGAAAATAATTGAAATTAAAATATTTGTGAACACAACACTCAACAGGGAAAAGAAGGAGAGTTTGATTTTGCATTTGTGGATGCGAAGAAATCGGAATACATAAAATATCATGAGTTGCTTTTAAGATTGGTGAAGGTTGGGGGAGTAATCGGGTACGATAACACCCTGTGGTACGGATCGGTGGCCCAGAGCGAGGAGCTGGTTGAAGCAGATTTGAAGGATAATAGAATTTACATGCGAGAGTTAAATGCGTTTCTGGTTAACGACTCGCGTGTGGAGATAGCTCTCCTGTCCATTGGAGATGGTCTTACTCTTTGCAGGCGTATCAACTAGTTATCTCTATCTTCAAGTTTCTCTAAACAAATCTCATATTGTATTGTATGAGTGTGATCTTCCTCCATAGTCCGTACTCGGTCATTAATAATTAGCCTCAAGGCTTGTCAGTTTCTATGTTTTTCCCCCCTTTTTTCTAATGAGTATTTATGGTTTGTATTTGTATTGACATCCCGTTAGAATTTTAACTATTTTCGTTGTGCGTGTATTTTAGTTGTGGTTCATTTTAATCTATGTAATTTTTATTTTGGTAATTGTATTTTCAACTACATTTCATTTTAGTTATTATATTGTGTTAAAATGTTACAAATATGGATCAAAATGGTCTTTTTTTTTTAAATACGAGGACCAAAACGAACCCTTTAAAAAAATAAGGACCAAAATAAATCAGAGATAGAAATAAATGGACAAAGATAATATTTTAACATTATTTTATTTGAACCCACGTACTTTTTAGTTAGGTATTATGTACGTATGTGTAAGTTTTTAACCATGTTTTAAAGGTATTAATAGGTCTAAGTTTTTTAGATCGTGTCTACTAGGTCCATAACGTATTCGACATTTTGAAAACTAATGGACCGGTTAAGCACAATTAAAATTTGAAATTAAAAAATTTATTAGATGTTGATTTTAAAGTTAAAAGTTCATATACATACGATTAAAACTGTATAAACTTATTAGACATAATTAGAAAAGTTCATGGTCTTTGATGAAATAATGTAAATTTGAATAGTGTACTAGCCTATTAATGTGAGCATAGTTTCAAGACACATGACAAATGAATATTAGCAGATAAAATAATATAACAATGAAAAAATTAATATTTTTAATAATTTGAGAAATTGGCATTTACATTTTAGAAAGTTAGTGATGTAAATTCCAATCTTCAACCTTTTAATTTTAGTCCATTAACTTAATTAAGTTCGTGATATTTAGGTCGGCGAACATTAAAAATGTGTACATTCATTAACTTTTAGAAAAAAATTCATCGGAATAGTACAAATATGTCTTTCAAATTTAAACTTAGCATTTGCATCTAGAAACTATGATAAAAAGGACGAAAAATATTTAAAATAACTATTTAAAATAAGACAGAACATTTAGATACTATTATTAACCTAAATAGTGAGATACAAATAACTACTAACATGGTCAAATTAGTTTAGTTGTTAAGGTATGATACAAATAATTATTCTTGTTTCTAATTATAAAAAAGAACAGGTAAAATATTGTCATTTAAAAAAAAATTATTTGGCAAAAATTTGCGGGTCCTAAAATAGTAATTTTCAAATTGGTTATGTATCTTTTAAAATTACCAATTTTATATGCCCCTATTATATAAAAGTATTTCAATTAGGCAATTCTATATTAAAAAAATGGTTAAAATTTGTAAGAACATTTATTTATGCTCAGCAAATTTGATTCGCTCATCAACAAAATTTATTTTCTCCAAATTTATACATATGTGTCTAAATATAGTTTAACAAAATTATTATTTAATGACACGTCAATTTTCGAGTGGAGCATATTTTTCCATAAAGTGACTTATTGAAAACTTAATTATGAATTTTTTAATAATTTAACTTAATAAAAAGTTAAATTATTTATTTTTAAGATGAAGCCTCTTTTCTTAAAAAAAAAGTTGTTTAGAATTATTTATTTTTAATAATTTAACTTAATAAAAATAAATTAACTACTAATTATTTATTTAAAAATATCTAAGGTAAATTAATGGTCGAGAGTTGATTTTGATTAATTTTAAAACAAATCTAACACCATTCCTTTTAATAATAAGCATATTAATCATTTATTCCCATAAAATTCTGTTAACATTTTCCTACACCACCAAACACAGTTATCTTTGATTCCCAGATAACTTAATCCAAGAGATCTTAATCTCAGGCTACATATTTTAAACTTTCAACCAAACGACTCTTCAAGTCGTATTCTTATTCTTATTTCTTACTGAAACTTAATTATGAATAAAAGCAACATTAAAATAAATTTTTGTTTCTTTTCAAATTTTCGACCAACATTTTTCTCAACAAAATAGTAACAATAATAAAAATGATAAATAATAAATAATTTAATTAAACGATCGTAAAATGACTAGTAGGTAGCCTGTCTCATTAATTGAATGATTTTGCAGACAAAATCCAACACGGATACCGTTTTCCCCTTGAATGTCACTATTGCAGGGAGAATTAAAATAATATGATTAGACTAAATTACCAATTTTGTAGTTCTTAAATTTAAAAAACATGTCTAAATTTTCAACATTAAAGACAAACATAGTTTAGTCCTAATTGATATATATCTCGAACAAAGATGTCGTGAGTTCGATCTTACGTCTCTACCTGTTGTACTAAAAAATCAGTAATATATTTATGAATTTTTAAAAGTATATTGTTAAGTTTGTAATAGGACATTGTATTTGTAATACTAGGTTGAATAGATTATTAAACTTTAAAAATGATCAAATATATCTCTAAATTGTTTATTTTATATCTAGTAAATTTGTTAATTTTACTATCCCTATTGATCCGTTTTTCAAAATTTAAAGACCATAAGTGAACCACAACTCAAAAAGTTTGAAGAGCAAAATTGTGGTCAAATTTTAATTAACCGGATGGGAATGAGATGATACATATCAACTAACGAACAATGAAGAAGAAGCATATGATATGAATGCACGTGAAGGAGGAGCGAAGCTACGTGGCGTCGCGACATTCACAACCACCGTCGCTATTTGTTTCTCCCTCCGTTTTCTAATGTCAGTCACTTTAGATGCTCCCGATTGGGATGTTTTTTGGACAAATTCCTAGTGGATAGGGTTCCTCCCGACCCGCCCCATTGGGGAATTTTACCCCATCCCCATCATGGACCTACTAAGGCTTATTAATATTTTAATTCTTTAAAACAATATAAACTTTTTGTTCTATAGAAGATTGTAAATTTTAATTAAATACCATTATGATATTTTAAATGTGGTTTTTTCCTTAGACGAACCTTTAATTAAGAAAGAAGCTTTAATCCAAACCTCAAATATTTAAGACCTGTTTAATAATCATTCTTCATTTTCCGTTTTTGGTTTTTAGTTTTTCAGAAACAAGATTGTTTGATAACCAATTCAATTTTCAAAAAAGTAGTTTTCAAAAACAGGTTTTTGTTTTTCAAAATCTCATTTATTCTTCTAACACTCAACTTTTTTTTTCTTTCTTATATTCATCCCTACAAAATTTATTTTTTACTCAAATTTTTTTTATTTCTAAATTTCTCTCTACAAAATGTATTTTTTATTTTTAAAATTTTCATATTTTGAATATTTATTGTTATTTATATCTCTCCAACATTTTTCTGTATTTTTGTTTTCTTTTTTCTAATAGATCAGTTTCATTTTTCTTACTAAAAAATTAATATTTTTCCTAACTTTTTTCTCTCCAAAATTTCAAATTTTATAACTTTTATGTCTCTCAGTAATTTTTTTTCCTAAAAATTATATTTTATTTTCTCGTTCAATTTTCTTTTACTGTAACTTTCATTTATCTTTGTTTTTATTTATTTTATATAAAAAATTATATTTTGAATATTGTTTTTATCTCTAAATTTATTTCCACTATAATTTTTCTCTTTCTTTATAATTTCTTTTTTTTTTCTTTAACATATCTTTTCTTCCTGACTTTATTTTTTTCTCGAAAATTTTTCTCTTTTTTGTCTTTAATTTTTCTCAACCTATTTTTTTATAAAATTTTCTCTCTCTAATATGTATTTTAAATTTTCTAACTTTTTAAAAACTAAAAACTAAAAATGGTTACCAAACATGTTTTGATTTTTTGTTTTTTAAAAACGATGAACAAAAAATGGTTATCAAACATATATGGTGTTTGTTTTTTAAAAACAGAAAACCAAAAATCAAAAACTAAAATGTTATCAAACGGGCCTTGCGATTTAAATTTTGAAAGATATAACTTTCATATTGGACTTTAAACATTGGGCTTGAGGAGTTATAAAAGTAATATAAAAATCAATAAATATTATTATCATTAATTTATATACATATAAATAACAAATTAAATGGATAGAGTCGGGGATGGGGACGGGGTGAGGGGATCTCCCCATCCCCACCGAGGAATCCCCAACCCGATCAGGTTAGTTATCCGTAGGGATCGAGTCCCACAGTATTTTGCCATCTCCACTCATGAATCGTAAATATAACCCAATAATTCAACACATTTTCAAATGAATAGATATCAATTAAAAGAAATAGATATAAAAAATGTTTGTTTGTTTTTTTGTCGAAAGGTACATATCAAATTGTTAACTAAAAAAATGGTTTCTTTCTGCATATCCAAATTGTTGAACTAAAATAAATAAATAATTTGTTTGTTTGTTTTTTTTTGTTTATTTATTTATTTTTATATCAGGGTAGAAATCAAATTGTTGTACCAATAGTGATCATGTTACTATGTCGGAAGGCCACTGCTATGTATTGCATATATGAATATGATTTATAAGGAAGTAGCATAGCACTTGTGCTTTTGAGAGAATTTAAGGTTGTGTGAAAGAGGAGTTTGAAGGTATCCACGATGTCCAATTTCTAGCGTTACGCTTTTCATTTCGTGATCTTCAGAGTACGTCATAAATTTGGTAGAATATATCACTGATGGTTAATACCCGTGTGATCTCCAAAGTACATAATGATCTCAAGATATATTATTGCAGACAGTTGATATTTGGCCATGAGTTGTCTATAAATACTGAAGATAAACTCGCTTACAGATACACGAGAATCCCGATTTGAATTTGAGAGAAAACTCGTTCAAATCTCTATTGACTTGAGCGACAAGGTGCCCACTATTCTTTTGCAAATATTTCTTTATCGGAATTCACGAGATATTCGAGTGAAATTTCATACTAAAAGATTTAAATTCACTCTATAAATTAAATTAGGAATAACATTAACATACAGTATCTTTTATTTTTTCATTTTATTTTTTTCTTTCTAAATGATGAATCTCAAATGCATCTTTATAGGTGCAGAAATCAAACGAGTTCAATTTAAACCAAAACAAAACTGTTCAAACTCAAAATCAAATGGGTTCCACTTAAACCGTTTTACATTAAAAACGGTTTACCTGCACAATCAAAAAAACTTGAAAAGTTAAATGATTTAACCTAAATTTAACATGTATTTAAAAAAAAAATCACAACTTTTCGGTTTTTTTTTTCAATATAACATAAATTTGACTTATTTTAATACATTTTATCTTTGTCCATGGGTTCAACTAGTTAAATTATGTTAATAGTTTAAGCTTAATTTGGACTATGTTGTTGTAAAATTAAAAAAAATATATTATAATTTAAAAAATACATATTTATTTTATATTCGTAAGGTAAATATTTACAAAATCCACCTTGTACTAAAAAAAATAATAATAAAATTTCGACAATTTGGCTGTTACAAATATCTCTGGCTCACCTGACCTGAGGGACCAAAGTGAGGCTCAGGAGAACCCCTATTATCGTTTCGTTTGCATTCTATCAGATGTTGAGCGCTGGGGAAGGGAGAACTGAGAGTTTGGAGGAATTAGGGAATTACAGAGACCATTCGGCGCTGAGACTGAGATGAGCTTCGTCAAAACGCAAAGAAGCTGCTCGGCAATTCGTACCCTCTCTCCTTCTTCATCCTCCATTTCTCGCTGCGCTCATAGCTCCTCCTCTGGTAATTGTTTTCTATCCTTCTCAAACGACTCTGCCAATTTTTGTTGCTAGTTCTTCGCCCCTTTCCCCAGTTCTTATCGTCTCACTGTTATCCGTAACCGTAAGAAGTTGTGATACAATTTAATTCTTAAGATCGTTTAGATATGAAATCTGACTGATGAATTTAGCCTAATCACTCTGCTGAACGAATGTGTAAAATTGATTTTATATTGTCTTTCGTCCTTCCTTTTACTTTTTTAGTCTTTCAGGAAGGTCATAGTCTAGTGGCTAATTCAGAACTTGATTAGGAAATTCACGACACGACCACACTGCATCAATCTGAAGAAAAAAATAATGCAGGACTCAATTTTGATAATAGATAGATGTGATGAAATGAGATATCTGAGCTATTCAATGAGCATTCATAATCCTTTGGCTACGCACTGGAATCAGCCGTCAGTTGGACCTCCTTTGATAACAACGATCGTCATAATGCACAGAACAGAAGCAGAACAAGTAGAGCGAACCAGAGTATTTTGCGGTTTCTATTTGTATTTAAAGAAACCGAAGTTACCATGGGCATAGTAAGTCGATAAGGAAACGTATAGACAAGGAGCCACGAAACAGAGCCATGTGGGCGATGGTTCATTGCCTAAATTAGAATGGAATCAATATTAAGTTCTCTGGGTTTACCTCTCTTTGGAAGATTAAAATTCCAAATTAGATTAAGTTCTTTGGGTGGCAAGTCTTACCTGGAAAAGTCAATACCTGGTATTTAGAGGATATCTTCCTTTTGTCTGTGCCCACAACGGTATGTTCTCTGTAGCAGTGCCTCGGAGGACCTCGAGTATTTGTTATGGACTTGTCAGTTTGTGCATGATTTATGGCTTCGGTTCTTCAGATGTTTTGGGATAGTTTGGGTCCGTTCTAGAGATTGTAGGACGATGATGGAGGAAGTGCTGTTATTCCTCCCTTTTCGTGATATGAGTTGTTTTTTGTGGTAGACATGTTTTCTGGCTACTTTATGGGTATTTGGCTGGAGAGGAACAATAATTGTTTAGGGGTGGAAAAAACTGTGGATTATGTTTGTGATCTCATTAGGTTTAATACTTCTTTATGGGGATCAGTCACTAAGGCCTTTGTAATTATCAGTTAGACATCATTCTTTTAGATTGAAGCCCTTTTCTTGAAGGGGTTCCCTCTTGTAGGGCTGTTTTTTTTGTATGCGCTTCTTGTTTTTGTATCTATTTTCATTCTTCTCAATTAAAGCGTAGTTTCTTATAAAAAATAAAAAAGAAAAATATTAGAATGGAATCAATCACTATGCCTATTTAGTGATTACGATTTTGGATCCTTTGCAACCACTTTTCCTGTTAAACACTCCGACCTAAATGTATGTTAAGACCATTGGAACTAAGCCTTCTTTGGGTAACGCTGCAAGTTTCAGTCAGATGCACGCAAAACAACCTCACTTGATTCAGTGATTTTCTTCTCGATGAAGTAAGACGGGGCATTAGTATCATTCTTTCCAGTCCCCACTTGGAGGGGTTTTCTTTTAGAAGAGGGAATGAAGAAAAGAAAAAAATGAGGTGAAATAAGGAAAGGTTGGGTACTAGTTTTCATATTACTCATTGAAGATAGCGTATAACTTTGATAAATAAGGAAAGTCATCCTCCACGAGTATAGTAAAATTAGCAGGAGTGGTTTCTACTCAAGCTGTTATGATTTATCTTGTGGTTCACAAGTCAAGTTATATTATGTTTTATTTCGTCCAGGATTAAATGACAGAAATGGATGTGTGCAAACTGCATAAAGGAAGTGGCTGATTTAGTGACTGACAGTAGTTTCAAGTCTGAGCTTAAATTTGAACCTTAATTGTCTTATATGCAGATCATGCAACGTGTGGAACGCCAACTTGGATTGGCAAGGGAATCACTTGCATTTGCTTCAGGCGGAAGGGAACTTTTGAACAAATTTGTATCAACCTGACTCCTCAACAGGCAAGTAAATAAAAATAAAGAAAAACTGTCCAACTGACTATAATTAGAAGGGGAAACAGTTGAGATACAAATCATAAACTTTGTGGTCGTAATTGTTGATGAGTATATTGGTCCTTGACATTCTGACTCCTTTTCTGTTATTTGTTGGCTTTGACTTGCAATGCAAGGTACTCCATGTTTACTAGCTCAATTATGTTCCTCGCAAGTACAATTTTCTCGTGCTGTTAATGTGAATTGGCTTATTTAAAAATGAAATACATTGTAGTCTTTGTATTTTCTGTTTTAAGATTAAAAAAAAAACATAAACAGCCTTAAAGAATCAATTGCAAGAAAGTACCAAGAACTGATTATTTTGACTCCTTAATTATGACAAGGATAGAGGTTATTGTTAAAATAAAATATCTGATTTCACTGTGTTCATTGGAAATAAGCAGATAGATTATGATACAGAGCTAACTGCATTCACATCAGACACGCATCTATTAAGAATAAGACATTTACTTCATATAAATAGTTTTCAAATAAGTAAAGTTTTGATAAAGAAGTTCATTTTTTCTTCATAATTTTCTTCCCAGATTTTCAAACCAATTGAAGATGTAAGTTAATGATTCTAGTCAACTTAGTATGTACTGTGAGTACTTTTAACTGGATGAAATCATGCTATATCCTTGTACTTCTGATTGCCTTTGAATAAATTTATATTCATGGTCTCAGGAAGATAGGTTAAGAAGATTGAAGCACCGCACGAAGGTCCACTTTGATGGTTCAAGAATAGACCACCAGGTTTGCTTATTCTGAAATTGGACGCCTAGGTTTAGTATTTAGAAGATTCCTCGAAGCACAGCAACTCGAGTTCGTATTTTGAATAACTTGTAAACTATTAATAACATTTGCTTCTAATGTCCTTCTACAACATTTTTTATACTTTTACATCTTGTTTTCAAGGATACTTATTATGAAATTTTCACCTAGGACAGGAGGCTCTAAGAGCTTTGTGGTCTGCAGCTTATCCTGGCCAAGAGCTTCACGGGTTGGTATCAGATCAATGGAAAGAAATGGGATGGCAGGGAAGAGATCCATCCACTGATTTTAGGTTGTTATTTTGATATGAGTTGAGGGCTGCTTGTTTATCACTTGTATTACCTTTTGGCACGTTATCCATTTTCATTGCTCTAAAAAGTTTTTACCTAATCTAGAGGAGCTGGGTTTATCTCTTTGGAGAATTTGTTGTTCTTTGCAAAGACATTCTCAGTAAGATCCTATACTTTATTTGATTTCTCATATAAATTTTTAGTTTCTCTCACCTGAATGGGCCAAATAGTTTATGAAATCGGGTTAAAAACTCCAGATAGATCACTAAGTTGTAACATGTTATTACACTTTCACTAATCCTAGTTGCCTTTTTATTGTTTCAGACATCTTTCCAACGTCTGTTGAACAAACAAGGAGGAAAGCCAGCTGCTTGGGAATACCCCTTTGCTGTCGCTGGTGTAAATATCACATTTATGATCATGAAGATGCTTGATCTAGATGCTTGTGAGTAGCAAATCCATTTCTGTGTAATGAATTAGCATACAAATATACCATATAAGCTGCAATACACCAGTAGACTATGAGAGCTTCATTTGTTAAAAGTTCCAAAGCACTGCCGTTTTTAAATTCTTGGAAAGATAACTAAGGCAGCTGACCTTTTCAAATGCAGCAAAACCTAGGACTTTTATCAGATCAGTTTTCCTACAGATGTTGTCAGGTAAATTTCTAAACTCAATCCTTCAACATATCAAGTTTAAATTGTGTATCAATACCTGAGGTATAACTGCCCTTTGTATGATCATGATGGTGTTTTCTGATAACAGAGAATGAGTGGGCATTTGATTTGCTTTACTGTGTCGCGTTCGTAGCTATGGACAAACAATGGCTGGAGAGAAATGCTACGTACATGGAGTTCAATGTAAGAACAACTTAATTGCATCCTCTCTTTTCCCTTCAAGATTTTATGCTTATAAACATAGGAAAAAATTCATCCAGTGGTAAATGCGACATGAATGAAACGCATTAAAAGAGCGAAGAAGATTATATTGATGAATCAAATTATGCACTTGTGGTAGGATGTGTTGAAGTCTACGAGAGCTCAGTTGGAGAAAGAACTTGTAATGGAGGATGTAATACGCATAGAAGACATGCCTTCCTACAACCTTCTCTTAACATTAGATTACAGGTAGCTGACACTGCTCAAAAACTAGTCAATAAATTTTAACTTGTACGTTCTCTCTCTCTCAAGGACAGGGTTAAAGTTGGAAATAAAAAATCAATTATTATTATTTTTGTTTATTTTTAGAATATTGCAAATTCTCCTTACCAGCCCTAATTCGAGGGGCATGGATAAATAAAAACAAAAAACCGTCTGGACAAGCTATAAAGGCAGACTTACACAGTGCATTAAGAATGCCTGTGTCCACCCTCATGCCATCCAATTAAGAAATGAAAAAACTATTTAAAGTTAAACGAAAGGGAAAAGGAAAAACCTAACTTAAAAACGTAAGTTGCATTATTGTCCCTAAACTTCCATCCTTATCCTATTTTTTCATTTTTTATATTTTTTGTAATAATTTATTTTAGTCCATTAATTAAGTATAAATTGATTTTGATTTTTTATAGGTAAACTTTTATGTTACATTTAAAATATAAATATTATGCTCACATCATAGAATTATAATTTAAGTTTTTTTAGTAGAGCAATTTAAATTCAGTATGATGTATTAAATTTACGAATAAATAATTTAAGTTTTATGTTTTACATATTTCGAAAATCTAGTGTATTCAAAAAAAAAAAAAATCGAAAATCTGGTGAATATAAAATAAACAGATAAATGCAAAGTTAAGCAGCCAGAAAATGTTTTAACATGGAAGAATCTCAATTTCTTCTAATAAATCGCAGGCTGGATGTCCTGATTTGAGTTAAAAAACAAAAAAAAGTAAAAAAAAGCCGTCCTGAATTTCTAAATTGTAAATTTGTAATATGATATTCTTAATAATAATAATAAAAAAGATCGAAACTGTCGTGAAACATTTTTTTCCCTCGCTTCGCAAGTGTGACCAAATCACCCGCTTCACGGTAGCATTGCACAGTCTTCTATCAATATCGTTCCATCACTCTCTCTACTGATTCTTGCAATGCCTGTGGAAGAGTTGCAGACAAATGCAACAGTTCCAACTACTGGCTATGGAGTTTATTTATTTATTTTACTGGGCATTGATCAGCGCCCGCTGTTCGGAGCTCGCTTCAGAAGTGCTGCTAATTGGTCTTGTACGCTCTCAACGCCGATGTTCTTATTCCTTCTTTGTTCACATATATTTCAAATTGACTATAATTCTTTAGCCTACTGCTGAGAACAAAACATGAATTTAGATTCACTTTCCTTGAAGTCTTCTACCTGTCTCAAAATCTTCTCGCGCTTTCCAATTGTTATGATCAAATTTCCTATTAGAAAAATGATTGAATCTAACACGAATCTGGACTTCTTTTTGGCACAGCCAGTTGTTAGCTTCTACATTACAATCCTTATTGGCTTCCTGTTGTTTTCCCCCTTGCTCAAGTCTTTAATCGTACTCTTTTTCGTCATATTATTTTCTCCGTAAATGGTGAGGAACATTTTTCTAGTTACCACTTCTGTGAATCAGCACCATGTAGCTTCTGCTGGGGAAGGATTGTTAGCTTAATTATGCGATGCCAAGTGTGAAGAAAATGGTAGCACTATCTTGCATTTCTGGCTGTGGCTGATAAAGGAGCAATTGCCGATTGGTGCAGTGCAGGTGCGTTGGGATCCTTCGATGAGGCATTAAGTTTTCTACCCTTATTTAATCCATAGATTCTGGTCTCTATAATTATTTTATTCGGAGTGCATTGTCGTTGCTCTGCATCTACCTGGACTCGTTTGTGTGCTTTGTTCGTTTGTAATCTGTAACCAACAATCATTTTTATGCTCATGCTGTCATTAGAAATACCAATGGCCTATCGTGGAATGCAATTGGAGATCGGCACAGCATATTCTGTAGTTTATTAGTATATTTCCGTTTTTCGTCTTAGCTTCTGCTTTATGATTTGCATATTCTCGATTGAAATAGAAATATCCTGAATCCCTTCCCCTCCAAAAAAGAAAAGGCAAAAGGAAGGAAGGAAAAGAAAAGAAAAGAAAGAAATGGACAGGGGGAAGTATCTCTCTCTTTCTAGTTGTGGCATTAGCATTACATCCTCACGTCCTAAAGTTCCCATTCCAGATGTCGAAGTTAAAGACAAAGAACTGATGATGACCTAACTTGTGAATATCAAGTTTAGAATAGTTTCCTTCAACATGCTAGAATTAATTTTGAAAAATTACAAAAAAATTATGAATGTTCATCTAAAAACACTACTTTGAGCATAGACCACAAACAATAGAAAACCTACAGCCTACTTGCTAGTTGCTACCACTTGTATCTATCCCGTCAAATAACGGATGCATAAAAAAGTGAACTGATTGGCTCCTCCTTCAAATTAACAATCCTATTTCTAATTATTGTTTGGTGATAAACATTAATATCTATGATTATAGTCTGGTTGACGTGCGTTCTTGGTAGTAGTGCAAGTTGCCGAAGCCTGAAATGTGTTATTTATGTATTCTAAAGGAAACTTCTATACGTAGCTAAAATTGTAAAATTAGTGCATCCAGGTAACATTTGATTGCCAATAGTTGCAGTTAGTAATTAATCTGTACAAAGATGTTGTGGGATAAAGTTGCTTATTTATTTATCTTAAACAATATACACAAATTTGAATATGTAATTGTATTAATTACGCATAGAATACCAAATGAAAATAGGGATCAGGAAAAACATCTCAAAAATGAAAAAAGAAAAAAGTATTTAAATAAGTAAAGCTTTTTCTTTCTTCGCCCCGTCACCACATTTTTCTTCTTGAATATCCTGATGGTAGTCTGTTTACTAGAGCTGTACTTGGCTGAATGCACAAATTTCTGTTACATTTTTCTGGCGGAACTGGAAGTGATGAAACTGCGATGGTTGGTTCTAGTTTATTGTATTCCCCCCTTCCCTTGATTATCCTAATCAAGAGGATTTTTCCTTGTGTCCTTGCAAAGATTATTTTATTATTAGGCTATGCAATGTGCGGTTACTGCTACTGATCCAGTAAGATTAGATTTGATTTCCATGTCTGTCGAATTGATTCTGTGTGATCTTAATTTTATAAACTCAACAAAACTTTGGTAATGGATTTTTGCGCAGATGTACATGCCGAGCTTTTGTTTTCTCCAATGCCCGAATTTAGCGAGTAAGAATATTCTGAAAAATAAATGTTCAAGCGTTTATGATATGCAGACAGGATGTTTTACATATTCCTTAATGCCATTAATTATATATAAAAGCCTTCATGTATATTTAACTGAACAATTATTCTTATTCCATAGATTGCTTCTGGTTACTTTATTTATATGATATGAGAATAGAACACTTCCATATGCTTTAGAATTCAGGCATTTTGGACGTATCTGGATACTGGGAAAGATATCTAACAAAGAAAAAGTGGTGAAGAGAGGCTTTTTGGCTATTAAGCAGTGGCCATTAAGCTTTATTTTATTATGATTCTCTTGCACCACATATTTTTCCTTCACAATGAAATATTAGTTCGGGATTAAGCAATCTTTTTAATTATCTTTGTGTCCCATAGTTATGGTTGGCATTTTGATGTTCTTGTCTTCAGAAAGCAACATTTTCATCTTGTTAGGACTATACTTGACTGTATTTTACATTAGACGAAGGTATAGGATGTTATCACTGGTCCAACTATGAACATTCTTAGCTAGCCTTTCCCTTCTGTATGGATCATTCACGGCCTAATGGTCGTGGCTACTAGGCTGGTGAAGAACTGAATTGGCTTGTCTGCCTCGTTTAAATTCGGTAACTTTGGTTGAAGACATGTGGCTTGGTGGAGTACACCTTAGGTATTAGTGGTGCCAATCAAACAAATCTTGAGAACACCATGCTATTAGTGGAAATAGGGGAAGAAAGTAACAGGTAACAGCCATGGGGGTGGTCCAGCGACTGGATTAGTGGATTTAAGAAAGATTGGGATAGGGATATTATTCTAATTCTAATTGTAAAGTTAGCCAGCATTTCCAATTATGCCGGCTTTACTATACTTTTTATGTTGCAGGGGGGATTCTTCAAGAAGCGTCTACTGGAGAATTTGTTTTGTAGAACAAAGACAATCTGCTTTAGCACTTGTGTTCTAAACAAATCATTTCTTTTGATTCCTGCTAACCGAGTTCTAATTGGTGGCCTGTGTCCCAAATTTTTAATCACCAGCCTGGGAAAGCCACAGGTCATTTAGCACGCCAGCGAATATGGGGGAGTAAGTGGGAGGTTTTATATTCCCTGCTTTGAGCAAAGTTGAATCGTCATCCTCCCAAATTGAAAGATAGATCCTTTATTATTATTGAACCCAAGTAGAGGAAGCCACGCGTCTTGTTTGGCACATCCAAGTTTTTACACTTTTGTTCCAATATGATATGCAGTGTGGATTATAGGCCCCAATAATGGGGGATGCTTTGTGGATGGACTACTGACGATTATAATATATTTGGGTGCTCCTGTCGGCGAGACTCTTCCTTTTGCTTAATTATCTATGACTCATTAGTGGGTGGGAAATACAAAGCCCCACTGCCACACAGCTTTCGTACGGGATGATGTATTAACTCTGTGGCCGGGTGTCATCAAGCGGTGACATAATCATTTTTAGATTTGACAGTTATTTGTGAATTATAATGTTCCTGGGCTGGGCTGGGCTGGGCTGGTAACTTCTCCATTCACCAAATGGGCCACTCTTATATGTCCTTTTTTCCCCTTACTTATCAATTAATTATTATTATTATTGGTTTGTGGTATGCAGCTACCTGAATCTAACCTGGTAGTGTGGGATTTGAGGTGAACTGAAAAGCTGAATTTGGTATGTCGGACAGTTCAATCGATTATTGGTCAAATTTCTTCATTTTCATGTCATTATCTTTGTACTAATCTTGAATTCTCTCGTTTTCAATTAGTGAAATATCACTGGAGCAGCCGCCGGCCTTTTGATGCCATGTGCGCACAGGTATGAAACCTAGGCATTTGAATATATATATATATTGCAGTCTTAATTTTTTAGGAGATTTGGAGTACTCACCATGATTCATTTATGAGAGGAGATGTACTAGATAAAAGGTTCTCCACTATTGATTATTATAATTGTTTGACACCTGGATTTTATTAACTTATGAAAACTTAATCACAACAACATAAAAATAATAATAACAAAAATTTAGGTTGTGGATAATTGTTTGGGCGAGGGACCCTGATTTTTCCCCTGTGGAACAACTTTTTCTTTCCAGCTAGTACTGTAAATGACTGTTAGGTTTCCAAAATAAACCGACTCACACGTCCAGTTGGACAAATATAAATGGAGGGAGGCAAGGCAATAATTAATTTTCGCAGATGTTTTGTTCCACAGGTAAAAAAAAAAAAAAAAAGAGCACGTTCAAATGTGTAGCTTTACAACCTGTCCTTTCACTTTGTTTTTTACTTGTGGAAAATCTTTCATGTCTATCCCAAACAAGCGTAATAATGACTTGTTTTCCTATTCCATATCATGTCATTTATATATCTTGTTATAAATTTATCATTTTGATCAAATAAATATCTTCAAAATATCTATTTGGTGGAAATATATACATATTGGGTTGAGAAAGGACTATATAAAGAATCCTTGCACCATGGGGGGGACTTGGAGAGCAGGAACCAAATACCCAAAGGATCCTTGTCCAAAACTTGACTAGCAAGTTTATGAGTAGCAAGATTACATGGTTTCTTTTTTCTTTTTTTTTTTTTAAATTTTTATATTATATAAAATATAATTTATCATATTTCATTGCATATATTGTCTTATATGATATATTATTCTTTTCACCAAGATGAATTAAAAAGTTAAATAGAAAAGATGTCTTTCAATGACCCAAAAAAGAGTTCCATAGAAACAAGTAGGACCATAGAAGGTGCCACATATTTGATTGTTGTTCCCAACTAAATATGAGATATCATGATGTGTATGTCCATTATAGAGATTTCACAAGAAAGTTTTATCTGTGGGCCGATCAAGATTCTTCCGCATATAATTCATCAACATGTCACATTGACAAGTTTTATTTTCATAATGTCAAAAAATAAATAAAAGAAAAAGAGAAGAAAAATGGAGAAAACAGAAACCATAAGTATTAAAGAAAAAGCAAAGTGTCCGAAGATGCTTGAGCTGAAAAAGAAGAAATGGTGATATCATATTCAGCTTTGAATTATTATTATTATTTATTTTGTTTTAGTGCATCTTTGAATTATTTTATAACAATAAGATCCAATGCAACATTGGGAAAATTCTGGGTTTTCCCAAAACCGGCATCCTTCTAACACCATTATCCCTTGGCCATGGCTGTATTAAATGGTGGTATGTCTCCCTCCACTAACATCGTTGCTTTTCCACAATATGAGCTCTGCTTTTTTCCTTTTCTCTTTGTTCCATATCCGTAGGATTCCTCTTTTCTATTTCAATTTAGTATGGTGTGATTATATACCTTTGCTCAATAATGTATGTGAACTTTAACACCAACCAATTGAATTGTTGATGATAATTCCAACCATCTCTAATATATCTAATAATGATTTGACATGTTTGTAAATTTATTCTAGAAAAAATTGCAAATACCACTTTTAAACTATTAGTTGTTAAATTGTATTCTCAAGCCTTTAATTTGAATAGTTATCCCCTTAAAAGTAGTGAAAGTAGTGAAGTTGTTGTAATAAAATCCTCCTACTATAACTCAATTGGTGGTGGGTTAATTGCAATGATTTTAAAATTTTATTTCTTACCATCGATGAATCTTCAAATCTCAAATGAGAGTACTATATATCATTTATTGCTAAACTATGCTTACAATAGTTTCTCGAGACGGTAATTTTCGAGTTAAAAATTTGAGGATTTGATTATAACTCAGCAGTGATATTTGCATTATTTGTTCCCCTCTACTGTAGTTATCTCTCACTGAAACAAAATATTTAAGCAATCTTGGAAACATGTGCAAATAGTTTAAATATAGTAAACAAAATAAGAGCAATATGAAAGGCAGGGAGAGGCAAATGTATTTGGAAAAGCATGGAAAGAGAGAGTAGGGTTGGTTAACTAGAGTTAGTGAAATAGTAACCGCAGGGTTAAGCAGAATGAGTTTTCCATTCCACACACTATATAAACTAATCTCCGCCTAAATCCTCATGCACTGCACTGCAACTGCAACTACAACTGCAATCTTCTTCAGAAAAGACAGAAGAAGAAAATGAAGAACCTCCTCATTCTGGCCTCCCTCACTCTCACTCTTTCAGTAATCTCCCCTTTCCCTTTCGCCCTCCCTAATTTCCTCCTCCTCTCTCTCCTCGCCCTCTCTCTCAACTTCTGGCTCATCCCGGGCGGCTTTGCATGGCGGAGCCACCACCGGCTCCTCCCGGGCCCCGCCGGCTGGCCCATTCTCGGAACCCTGCCCCAAATGGGCCCACTAGCCCACCGTAATCTCGCCGCCATTGCCCACTCCTTGAAAGCCACCCGCCTCATGTCCTTCAGTCTGGGCGCCAACAGGGCCGTCATAAGCAGCCATCCCGAGACCGCCAAGGAAATCCTATGTGGGCCGGCCTTCTCCGACCGGCCCATTAAGCAGTCGGCTCGGCTCCTCATGTTCGAGCGCGCCATCGGGTTCGCCCCCAATGGCACGTACTGGCGCCACCTCCGCCGGATCGCCGCCCAGCACATGTTCTCCCCGAGGAGAATCTCGGACCTTGAGGGGCTCCGGCGGAATGTGGCGGATGAAATGGCGGCGGAGGTGGGAATGGCGGCGGAGGGGGTGGTGCGGCTGAGGGAGGTGCTGCAGAAGCATTCTCTGAGGAACATAATAGAGAGCGTGTTTGGGAGTGGTCTGGAAATGGGGACGAAGGAGGAGCTGAGTGATATCGTGAGGGAAGGGTATGAGTTGATAGCGGAGTTCAATTGGGAAGATTATTTTCCGTTGAGGTTTTTGGATTTTGGTGGAGTGAAGAGGAAGTGCCATGAATTGGGGAGGAGGGTTAATGTGGTAGTTGGTCGAATCGTTGAGCAAAGAAAAACACAACCAAATGCTCAGTCTCACTCTCACTTCAATAATGACTTCCTTGCTTCTTTGCTGACTTTGCCAAAGGAGGATCGGTTGAGTGATTCAGATATGGTCGCTGTTTTATGGGTAACTTCTCTCTCTCTCTCTGCATTCACCAAACAAAAATTTTGGCCTCAATTTTCTTTTTTATTTTTCTTTAGGCTTCAATTTTCCTTTTTTTTCTTCTTAAAAATTAAACTTACATTCAATTTTCTCTTTGTTTTTGTAGTCAGGCGTCTTCACAGTCCAACCCAAAATTTTAAAATTAGAAAAATTGCATTTTGTTTTAAAACAAAAAATTAGAAACGAAATTGTTATAGTGCTTTGTAACTTAAGGTTTATTTTTTTTAAAATAAAAATTGGTGAAAATATATTTAGTTAACGATTTTCCAAAGTTATTTTTCTTCTAGTTTCTTTGTGTAAATTGATCTAATTATGAAAAACACTAATTGCCTCATAGGTTTTAAGAATAGTTCCTCGTCCTTTTATTTAGTGACAAGGCGATGTATTTTAGAAGGGTCTTTTAGACAAAATATATATTTCATATCACAATGCGCATATAGTAGTTTTCAATAAAATTCTACTTTTTTTTCCATTTATGTTATTTTTAACATACAAAGGGTTTAAACCTGTAAGTACTTAGAAGTACTTTCTCAACAAAAAATAAAAGACATGCTACTAGTAAAGTAATGATTTATTGAATAAAAAGCTAAGATTTAATGATTTTTTTTTTCGGGTATAATTAAGCGCATCGTGCACATAAATAATTATATTGAGAAGGAAAAAAAGAAACAGATAATCCATATTAGATTACACAAAACGAGGAATGCTTTTGTGGCATAAAAATATATATCTTGGCATGCATATATAACTACTAACAATATTCCAAATTTATATATAGATTATGAAATATATATATATATATATATTTTTTATATGTGCGGAGGACCGAGTCAGCAATGTTTATTTCTTGCCATCTAAAATGACCCACCCGGCCCCTACTTTTTTATGTTTGACAAGTACGGCCAATTTTTTAATTTTCCCATAAAAGTTTTGTAAGCTTTTCAAGATTCGGATATAATCATCAATAATGTGTTTGTGTATCCATCTCTCTAAAAATGATTGTTAATTGACCACATAATAACGCACATTGGCCACTGTCTAAAAATGGGCATAAATTATGTAATATAATTGATATGGTGTGATTTACTGTCTTAAAAATATCATAAAATAAAGATAAAAAAAATATGTATATAAAATCGTTACTCCTTTTTATTATGATGTTATTTATTAAAGTGGAAATGATGTGTAGGAAATGATATTTCGTGGGACCGACACAGTTGCAATACTTATAGAATGGATCATGGCCAGAATGATATTACACCCCGAAATCCAAGCCAAAGCTCAAAAGGAGCTGGACACGTGCGTGGGGTGCAACAAGCACGTGCGTGATTCAGACATTCCCAACCTCCGTTACCTCCAAGCCATCGTGAAGGAAGTTCTGCGCATGCACCCTCCAGGCCCATTACTGTCGTGGGCCCGCTTGGCCATCGACGACGTCCACGTGGACAAGGTCTTAATCCCAGCTGGCACGACAGCAATGGTGAACATGTGGGCCATAGCCCACGACCCGTCCATCTGGGAAGACCCATGGGCATTTCGACCCGAACGGTTCATGGAAGAGGAGGTGTCAGTAATGGGGTCAGATCTAAGGCTGGCGCCGTTCGGGGCGGGGCGAAGGGTGTGTCCAGGAAAGGCCTTGGGTTTGGCGACGGTGCAGCTGTGGGTGGCCAGCCTTCTTCAGGAGTTCATATGGCTTCCATCTTCTTCAAACTCTGTTAATTTGTCGGAATGTCTGAAGCTATCCCTCGAAATGAAGGAACCCTTGAATTGTCGAGTGGTAAGCCGGTAAATTCCAGTCAAAGAAGTTTCGGGTGACGTGGCAATTCAAGATGAGGAGACAAAAAAAAAAAAAAGGTAGAGTCTATATATTTGTATTTGTAGCTATGGATCAATGGAAGCCTCATGGAAGGTAGATTATCAATGTAAATTAGTTAATAACCGTGTGTTAAAAATAAGGAAGAAGGCCCACCGAGTTGTGAAGTTGTGATCATAAATGTTATTACCCAAATTACGAAATAGCCCCCTTTCCTACACATACATGTATGGTTGTTGATTTTATTATGTAATTTACCAGTAATTACTAAAGCCCATATTCAACTTCGTCCAAAAGCTAGCATAAGTTAGTGGGAATTGACATGTATCTTCCTTTGATAAATAACTTACTCCTACCAATCTTTATGAATACTAATTAATCACGTTTTTATGGAGTTGAAGATCACAACCACAACCACGATCATTTATCCATGATATGTTTTTGTTGAAGACAAGAACATAGTCCATAAAAAGAGAGAAAAATTCAAAATCTATAAACTAAAATGTACAACATCTTCAATATATAGTATAAGGTTTGGAATTTGAAAGCTCTCTTCCCAATCATACCTACATCATTATATTAAAAGTGGATAATTTTGCCGTAACCTATCAACTTAAGTTTTTGAGTTCAAAATTGGATAAAAATGACAAACGTTACCGTGAGATATCATTTATGCATTAAATATGTATCATATACATATAACTCTAAACTCTTGCACTTAAACCTAACCAATCTCTACACATTACTTGGAGCTCATCGCCTAATCATAAGTGCTTCTATTTGAGAGCGATAGCTTTCATTAAGATTTTTCTTTATTAAACCCTTATTCTTTAAACCACTTTACATTAGACACTTATTTGAGTACGTGTTGATCAAGAACACCATAGTATTAATATTTGATTAAAGTAACTTTAGCTGCCAAAAAACAAAAATAAAATCAGTGATAATTGAGTGACTTTTTAAAAAAAAAAAAATTGGAATGAAAATGTGAGGATTTGAGTGGATAAACATGAGGGGGGAAGAAGTATGGGGTTTTGCACGTCGAAAACAAAACCCCATGCTCCTTTTATGCTTTATATTAAAAGGGAAAATAAATGATAATAATAAAAATAAAGAAATTGAAACGGTAAGGCCAAAAGTTTAGGGTTTTAATAGAATGTGATGGGAAAATCCAATGGATTTCTTTGGTTACAGCGTAAAAGGCAGATCCCTTTTATTTGTTGCTTTTTGAGGAACGCGCGCACACACTCAATTCTTCAAAATCAATGTTATCTGCCCTTCCATTGAACTGGGCCCCACCCTCCCATTTTCTCCCTTTCTAACTTTTGCCGCTGTTCATTTCCTATTGGCTCTCACTCCCACGCTTTTTTCTTTTTCCTTTTTCCTTTTTCCTTTTTCCTTCCATACCATGCAATTCCAATTGCAAATACAATCCCTCTGAGTCTCCACCTTTGGGAAATTTTGTCCCCTCCTCTTGTTTTAAATCCTTTTCGTTTTCTTTAATATTCGGATTTATTTTCCTGAATTCTTAGACTTTTATTTTTTTTTATTTGTGTTTTTAGATCATACAAGCTTTTGTTCTTTTTAAATTTTTATTATTATTTTGTACAAATCTTTTTTTTTTTGTTAATTTAATTCATAAATAGATGTTTTTGTGACTAATTATTTATAATTACACATGACAGGTCCTACATGAGGTTTCAAAATAAGTCAGGTAAGAAAAAGTAATTGCAAGAATTAAAATAATTTTCTTTTTTATGGAAAGTTTAAGGATGGAATCATAATATTTGAAAGTTTAGATAATGAAGCATGATGAAAGATAAAATTAATATTATAGCTTAAGGACAAAAAGTAGGATTTCGAATTTCAAACAATTCCTTTTCACCGAATTGAGTTTTGTTTGGGCCGTTAAATGGGCTTCCGAAAACGAACTTCAGCGTGATGGGCTTTTCCCACTATGTTCCTGTCCTAGTCCAAGACTTAGTTTTCTTTCTTATATGTAAGAGGCAGTCCAAAGGGTAAATGGGCCAGGCCTGTTCTAATTCAGTTTGAGAGTGAATATGGTTTGGAATAAAGAGGCCTAACAATTGGGCCTTAGGTTACAGGCAGAAATTCATTGTTTTCTTATATGAGTGAATCATTTGCATGCTAGGTTTTAGGAAAAGGTAATTCACATCTTCTTTATTCAAGTCATTCACTAGGTTAAAGCAATCGGATTCAATCTAAAAAGTTCTTTAAATTTAAGCTTCTGGAAAAATATAGCTCATCCCGCATCACTAACATTTCAGTAGCCAAAAGGTCGAGATTTCGAAAATCGTCATCGAGAATGACACAACCCAACCCAGTTCTACCTTCTTCCGTGTGATGCTAAATTTATGGCATAAACTTGGACTGCTAATGTCATGTAGTGCCACGTGTCCTTCTAGAAACATCTAACGCAACGCACACCGGAATATGGAACGGAGTTGACAGCATTCCCATGCCTCTTCTCACATCACAATCACGTGCGTGGCCCACTCTATCAAAATGGCTTCCCCCAAGAACCAACCAGATTCTTCATTCTGGAACTTTGCATTCATTGGCGGGCCCCACCTTTGGCGGATTCGCACGTAAACCGTTGGATGACCAAAATCCAACGCACCAGCAGAACCTCTGCAAATTAGCTGAACCGCTTTTATATAGCGCCCAAACCATTTTTGCTCTTCGATATCTTCTAAGTTCTACGGCGGAACAGAATACACCCTCAACGTAACTGTGTAAGTGAGATTGTTGAATCTGTACCAAGAAACTTTTGCTTTCAATTTGTTTTGTATCTGAAGTAAATTGTGGTGTTAATCGATCGGAATATTAACAGATGGAGAACGAGAGCCAGAACCGGGAGCTGAAGCATCTAGGTTTTGTAAGGATCGCTGCGATTCAGACGATTGTGTGTGTTTCGAATCTCTATGCTTACGCGAAGCAGAACTCCGGAACTCTGAGATCTGCGGTTGAATCTGTGGAGAGCGCTGTAAACACAGTTGTAGGGCCTGCCTATGAGAAGCTCAGAATCGTGCCTGATGATGTCCTTGTTTTCCTTGACGACAAGGTACTCCTTACCTTTCTAGTCCATAAACTTGTTTATACATCTGCTGATGACTTTCCTGGATCAATTTGGTACATTAGTTTTTTATAATTCAATCAATTGTCGATCCGGCTCGTTACTGAGTTGATGATGATGTTTTGCATTCCAGATGTTTGATTGCATTTAACTCCGAATTCTAGATTACTAAGATGAATTTAGTTTTCCAGCCTTCTATATGAGATTTCGACAATTGATTTTCTCTTCAACATTACCTGGTAGATAAAACGAAATTAGCGATCCATTCAGAGTAGTGTAGAATGAATACGAAGGTGCCTTTATTGGCTACCTATTGGAGTTATGAGAGTGGGTTCATAATTGATCAAAGGAGCTGTTCGATTCCAGGGTACTAATTGTTGTGTATTTTGGGATAACGATTTCAGCAAGAAATGAATGTTTCTAATTCTGGTGGGGGAGTTTGTTGCAGGTTGACAAAGCGACGCATGAGTTTGACAAGCGTGCTCCTCCTCTGGCAAAACAAGCCGTTCAAATAACGCAGCATATCATCCAAAAGGCTGCTCGAACTGCCCAAGAACTCGTGAATGAGTTTCAATCTGGTGGACCACGGGCAGCATTCCATTATGCAGCCAAGGAGTACAAGCAGTTGGTTGTAAACCAAGGAGTGAAGACTTGGGAAGGGCTCAACCGGCTTCCATCGTTCCACAAGTTTGCAGACATGGCGGTGCCGTCGGCGGCGCAGTGGTTGGAGAGGTACAACTACAAGGTGAAAGATATGAGGCAGAAGGGCTACTATGTGTTCGACTATTTTCCTGAAGTTCCTGTTAGCGAAATAGCCAAGGCATTTGAGCAGGGTGAGGCCAAGAAGGAAGAAAATCCTCCTCCACCTGCCTCAGAACAAGCTCCAACCGAGTGCAAAGCGGATTCGGATTCGGATTCTGATTCGGGTTCGGATTCGGTTTCCAATTAGAAAATGGTCGTTCCTGTCATTGCCTAATCGTCTGGTTTGCAATTGTATATGTTTCATGATGTATGAGCAAAACGCTGATGAGTAGCAGCTGTGAAAAATTCCACAAGTTTGAAAGCCTTAGAAGGGCGTATATAAGTGTGAGTGGCTGTTTGAAGTTGATATAGCGATTACGGCAATGTCTGTACATTATGAACAAGTAAATGAAGTTTTAGAATGTGATGCTTCCTCTATAGATTCTCTGTGTCTTGAAGTAAAGCTGGGAGAGGCACTGACCAAACTTATTTGTTCATTTCACGAGTGATAGCCATTACTGGCATTAAAAAAAAAAAAAAAATTTTTTTGAAATTTCAATCAATTTGCGCTCTGTGTGTGGTCAAATTAAAAAAATATATATTTTTTTAAGGATACATCAATGTTCTCGAGTATGTGTGGACTTTTCTTAGGATAAAACGATGCTCTTGAATATTCTTTATTAACTTATTAATGTGTTTGAAGCCCCACATACATAATCTCTTTAATTTCATAATCTCTTTAATTCATGGCTCTTTTTTGGGGTTTTACACACTATCAAAAATCATTATTAACTTTTTTTACCTATTTTCAACATAAGAATAAAAAATTTAAAACTATGTTCTTATTCTTAGTTTATAAAATTTAACTTTCGCATTAAAAAATTTGTAAACGGTAGAATTTCTTATGACAATTTCCACAAGGTTTAACAGTAGAACAGTTATTAAATAACCCATTAATTGTAAATTTGTAATAAACAAATTTATCCCAAAAGAATAGAAGAGAAGAAATCAGTCCTAACGGAATACAACAGTACACTGTACACTGAACACATCTTCGGAGGGCTCATTGTCCAACAAATCGTAGAGAGTACATGCCAACCTGAGCATAACTGGTTAAGCCATGTATTCCTCATCATTGTGATAAATCTTAGAGAATGAAAATGCAAAACATGTTACCCGCCTAAACATATCACAATTGGTTAAGATATATATTCTCGACCACAATATTAGAGGTTCGAATTCCCACTCTTATAGGTTTATCTTAGACCACATGTTGAACTCAAAAACTAGCTTATACTACATTCATGGCTTTCCCGAGAGATATCGACCCATAATAATAAAGTGTAGCTTAGGATATGAGGGATTGCAGAGTCACCAACTTAGTTAGTATATCTTATGAGATGAAAAGCACGTTTATTCCAGCACCAAAATCTGTGTTTGACAATACAAACCCACAAGGTGCTCCAACAGCACATGAAATTAAACAGAAACAAATGAACGTTCAAACAGTTGCAAACCTTCCCAGTTTCTTCCACCAATTTCAGAGCTCTGCCAAGAATTCTGCATAATATATGAAGAACATCAGGGGGATCCATCTAGTGGCAACTGGGATATCACTCCAAAATCAAAATCGTCCTTTTCTTACACAATACGAGACATCACATCCACCACATTATGAGAATTAAGACTAATAACTTAACACCACAATAAAAGTTTAAAGTTCCAATTATCAGTTTCTAGGTCTTACTCAGCCCAGGGCAAGGAGGCAAAAATTATTATGAGGACATGAAAATTGACAGAGAAACAGAACCTTCAAAAATCACTTGGAGTTATTGTTGATATCCTGAAGCATATCATCATAAGGGTCTCTTCTACCAGGAGCCTGGCTAATTTGTGCATCCCACTGCAGCTGAGAATTGTGGCGCTCAAACGTCCAAAATCCGTAAGGACGAAGTGGATAGCTCCACATCTCCTTCGTCTTTTGGCACCGATCCTTGACCGCATACAGGTGCTCTCGGAATTTGCGATCCCTCTCTTTTGGATCCTCCATTAGTCTTACTACCAAATTCTCAGCAAACTCCATGACGAATTTCATTTCTAATTTCTTCCTGAGAAGTTCACGAATTAAAAGATATAACGCCGTCGAAATTCAAAATGGAACATAAAATTCACTTGAAACTCTGCTGTCCGCCAAAGAAAATTTAAGAGCAAATCATGAAACTAAATTTGGATGAATCAGAAACACAGTTTATCTCAAACATCCTATTTCTCCTTGCAATTTTTCTTGGTATCAGATATTACCTAAGCAACAAACCGGATCTAAAAATTCTCAAGTGAAAGACCTAGGGTATCCAAATTCGAAAATTGCAAAAAATACTCGAGCAATTGAATAAGTAGCGAAATTCAACAAAATCAATTGAAGCCGCGATGAATAAGAAGCGAAATTGAAACCAAACGCTTACCTCGAAAGTTGATTTGTAGGAATTAGGATTTCTTCCAGTGTAAACCTGCAGTTCACCTCTCGCAGAACTGGACTCCAACGAGGAAAAGAATCCGTATAATTCCCAATACTTCCATATACAATGAGCTGAAATTCGCCCAATTTCCATATCTCTGGGGCCCGAAAGCCCAATTACGTATGATCTACAGAGCCCACTTACATGTGGACCCAGCTCTAGTGCAGGTTTCAGATGTATTGTTTCATCTGAAACCTCCGCTGCCAGGCCCATTTAATTAACTGCTTCTCCAATAATGTCTGATAGTGGACTTTATACATCACATTTCATAATATTCAGGTAGAAATTATTTAACAATTTTTGGTCATTTATGGCTTATTTACGTGCATACTGATGTTTTTATAGGATCAAGCCATTAGAAAGAATTAGAGCTTAAGCGATCAATTGAGAGGAAAGCTAGAGCGGAAAACAGGAGCTTAATTCAGCCATATCAGCGCCGTAGTGCCATCATGTAGCACCGTGGCGCCTGCAAGTCAAAATTGGGAGCAAATTCCCGAAGAAGCAGCACCACAACGCCAATATACAGCGTCATGGTGCCTGCAAACAAAGTTTGGGCCTCTTTCCCCTGTCATGTAGTGCCATGGCGCTACGAACTTGTTCGTCCGTCACAATTTTGGGACAGCGCCATGGCGCTATGGCGCTGTAGCGATGCCCTCACATAAGTAAAGTATGAATGTGCCGGTTTTGGGAAATTTGGGGATTCTTACATTGGAGAATTGGAATTTTGAGAGAATTGGCTCGAGATTTGAAGCAAGAAGGGCGAGGAGACGATTTTCGAAAGCTCGTGATCGTGGAGATTGAGTCGGGAACGGTCAATCGACACTACGACTTTAGTTTCTCTCTTTTCTCTTATCTTTTCTTGATTTATTATGAAATTCGTTGTGGCATTTTATTGTATTTTCGTGAACATGAGTAGCTAATCTTATTGTTCTAGGGATTGACGTAGCCGCTGGATTTATGAGTTGGATTTATTAACAATTGTCTTGATTGATTTGTTATTAATCTATTTGTGCATTTATTCGCTTAATGCTTTTAATCTCTTGATCACGGATTAATTGTTGCTAAATCTGAATCTTACGCTCGGGAGAGGTGGTTTAGATTGGAACATGAATGCATGACTAGGGTAGTTTTAAGATCGGGAGATTTAGAATTATCTTAGAGGTTGTTAAAAGACTAATACTTAAAGCCGTGCTTGTTAATGATATTAGATAGGGATATTGGTTTCTTAATAAGTGGGAGAATTAATTGTGTTCGGGAGAGACAGTTATGATTCTTCATTTCTGGACTTATATTCATATTCAATCTTGGCATGTTTAATTTGTCCGCTTGTAGGTTTAGTTGGTGAAATCACTTCCCTAGGACCTGTTCTCCATAGGAGATTTCTTTAGAGTTTTTTTTTTAATTCGCTTTGTTATTTGATTTTTGTATGTCAAAAGAAATTCTTGGTTGTTTCTCTGGATAAAATTGGACAATAATATCTGTAGTACTTGAGTGACTAGAAACCCAATGGACGATATTGGTAATTACTTACCACTTTTAGTAAAACTTGACCCGTACAGTTGCAGTAAACAATTTTTGCTACAATGTTCTTAGCTCTTAATACACGTTTTTATTTCAAATGTCCCAACACGAAAGAACAGATAACGAACATTAAATATGAGTTTAAAAAAAACAACGAACATTGACTGTGCACAAGTAATAATATGAATAATAAATAACGAAATACCAAAATTGAACTGTTGACTTTAGGATAGATAACTAACATTACAACTAATCGAGTATAATTCTTTTGTGTTTTTTTTTTCCAACATCTAACACTTTTTCTCCTATATTTTGTAGACACGATTGACAAAATCTTGTCAATTTTAAAATTTCATGTAAATTTATATTTCATTTTGTTAGAAATAATAATAAAACATAAATAATATTGAATAAGATTAAATTAAAATTATTGAAAATGGAATGGAATGGGAACACAAGGAATTAAATAAAGGTGAGGTCTACGAAGAATGGGCCAAGAGATAAAAGCAGAACAATTAGGCAATTAGTGGATATGAATTGAAGGATTTGGTTTGTAATTTCTTTGGTTCATCAATGTTTAGGTCAGGGATTCCACCAGCTTTTTCAAACTGCACCTACTCTACTCTATTGCCAATGCCATTATCTTTTAATTTCCCTATAAAACCCATAATTTCTTCCCATTAAGTATTTTAATTATTTATTTAATTATGTGGACCGTTGCCCTGTGAGTGTATGGTGCCTTTTGGAAGACCAAGAACGAATTCCCAAACAACCTTTGTCTACCACTTGAAAATGTTTCTCTCCACTTATTTTATTTTTTTCTCTTATGTACTTCATTCCATCGTCTTATTGCTCTCAACCTTTTTGACTACTCAAAAGCAAGAACCAAGAATTAGAACAACAATTAAATAACTCATAAGGTGAGTATATGTTTTTGCGATTTGTCATTTGTCGTCACCTAATATTCATATTTCACTCGGTGGATTCTATGCTTTTTAAGACAAACCTTGATTCTTGCGTAGCAGTTGTTATTTTGGGGGTTTCGAAATTTGAGAAGCCGTTCCCGCTTTCGATGCATTATTGATCCATAAAACACTCCAAATTGTTTATTTAATTAATAACCCTTTTGTTTTGGGCAATTTCTTTCAAATTTAATGCCATATTTACTTAAAATCATTATCAGGGGATGGGATGCGGTCTTTTCTCTTCTGTTGGCCTTTTCCTTTAACGTCGAGACATTGCAAATTTCCGTGCCCAATTACAGTGCCTGCTTTTAGCATGGCTGTTTTGAATCTTGTCATGGTCGAAACGGTGGCGTTTCAGTGTTCATTAATGATGCCTCCGCCATTCGGTTTGCTTGGATAAACGGGATACAGCGAGTCAAATGGGAATAATTTTGATGCTTAAGATTTAAAATTGTTCGCATCGTACGTTTTATTGATTTTAACTCATCGGTGATCTGCCAATCTTGGAAAGGGTCAAAATAAAACGGAAAAGGGGAAAAAAAGCTTTGTTGATTTTGAATTTTAATTACCGAAAATAAGAGGACTGGTGAAATTACTAGCTCTATAGTACAAAAATTAGGCCTCCGCCGCTTTGTACACAAAAATGACATAAAAAGCCCCGCCGCGCCGCGCCCATTCGACGGCCATGATTAAGATAATTTATATCTCCAATAAAAATGGCCTTCTCTTTTTTCTTTTTCTATTTGTTTTCCTATTCCCCTTATTCTCTCGCTTTAATTTTACGTCTGTTGGACTAAAATTACGATAAGCCGCCAACGTTGGAAGAAACGGCTATCGTCAGTGTCACTCGCGTATTTCTAACTTTCAGCCATGATATCATCGGCCCCATCGGCCCCACCGTCACCGTTATCATCAAGCCAACGCTCCACCGGAGCGCAATCC